CAGGTACTCGCGCACATAGGTTTGGCGCGGTCTCTTTTCAACTAACTGGGTCTTGTAGTGAACGAGGAGAAGTTGACCTTTACCCTCACTCAGAATATAGAGTTCGTGGGGGCAGCTCCATGTGCCAAGATGGGGCGCCTGCACCTATGTAGTCAGAAATGCCAGGCTGAGGCTCAGGCCGCTGCAGGCATGGTTGGTGGGTGCGTTCAACCAGGCCAGGAACGGCTGGGACCGGATTCTCACCATATCACAGGGAGTCATGGCCTCGCTCCGCTGGTGGACATTGGAGAGCGAGGTGTGTTTGGGAGTTCCCTACCATACGGGACTGCCGTCAGCCCAGCTCATCACAAATGCCTACGACGACAGTTGGGGGGTGCACCTACAGGACCGCAGGACACAAGGACTATGGACCCCCCCAGGGGTTGCACATAAATGTTCGGGAACTGAGGGTGGCCAGGAGGGCCTGCGAAGTCTTCCTGACCATGCTCTCGGGGAACCTAGTGTCAGTGCTGCTGGACAATACCACAGCGGTTTTTTACATAAACAAACAGGGTGGAGCCCGATTGTCCCCGCTCTGCCAGGAGGCAGCTCTCCTGTGGGAATTCTGCATAGCCCACCGCATCCAATTACAGGCGGCATACTTGCCAGGGTGCGCAAATACGTGAGCAGACTCACTGAGCAGGTCCTTCAGAGTCCACGAGTGGTGCCTGAAGGGGCAGGTGGTGGCGCGCCTCTTCCAGACGGAGGGTCGCCCCCTACTGGACCTTTTTGTTACCGAGGGGAACAAGCAATGTCTCCAGTACTTCTCCCTCCTGGGGCTGGGAGCAGGCTTGAGAGGGGAGCCCTGACTTCAACGTGTCCTCGGGCGTTGCCTTATGCATTTCCCCCATTCCCACTCGTTCCCAAGGTGCTTATAAGGATCAGGCGGTTCACATCACGGGTAATCCTGATACCCCGGATTGGCCCAGACAGTTTTGGTATCCCATCCTGTGGGAAAAGATGGTGGCCTGCCCTTATCGCCTGCCGCTGACCCCGGACCTAGTTACCCAGGACAGGGGCGGGGGTATCCTGTATCACCCGGATGTGCAGTCCCTCCACCTGACCGTGTGGCTTATCCATGGCTGAAGCCCTCTGAGAGGGCTTGCTCTATGGGGGTGCAGGAGATTCTCCCGGGCAGCCGGAAGCCGGCCACCAGGCGGTTGTACGCCGCCAAATCATAGAATCATAAAATCATAGAATAATAGGACTGGAAGGGACCTCAAGAGGTCATCGAGTCCAGCCCCCCGCCCTCAAGGCAGGACCAAGCTCCGTCTACACCATCCCTGACAGATGTCTATCTAACCTGTTTATTAATCATAGAATCATAGAATAATAGGACTGGAAGGGACCTCGAGAGGTCATCGAGTCCAGCCCCCCGCCCTCAAGGCAGGATCAAGCTCTGTCTACACCATCCCTGACAGATGTCTATCTAACCTGTTCTTAAATATCTCCAGAGAGGGAGATTCCACCACCTCCCTTGGCAATTTATTCCAATATTTGACCACCCTGACAGTTAGGAATTTTTTCCTAATGTCCAATCTAAACCTCCCCTGCTGCACTTTAAGCCCATTACTCCTTGTCCTGTCCTCAGAAACCAAGAGGAACAAATTTTCTCCTTCCTCCTTGTGACACCCTTTTAGATATTTGAAAACCGCTATCATGTCCCCCCTTAATCTTCTTTTTTCCAAACTAAACAAGCCCAGTTCATGAAGCCTGGCTTCATAGGTCATGTTCTCTAGACCTTTAATCATTCTTGTTGCTCTTCTCTGTACCCTTTCCAATTTCTCCACATCTTTCTTGAAATGTGGCGTCCAGAACTGGACACAGTACTCCAGCTGAGGCCTAACTAGTGCAGAGTAGAGCGGCAGAATGACTTCACGAGTTTTGCTTACAACACACCTGTTGATACAACCTAGAATCATATTTGCTTTTTTTGCAACAGCATCACACTGTTGACTCATATTCAACTTGTGGTCCACTATGACCCCTAGATCCCTTTCCGCTATGCTCCTTCTTAGATAGTCGCTTCCCATCTTGTATGTATGGAACTGATTGTTCCTTCCTAAGTGGAGCACTTTGCATTTCTCTTTATTAAACCTCATCCTGTTTACCTCTGACCATTTCTCTAACTTGCTAAGGTCGTTTTGAATTATGTCCCTATCCTCCAAAGAAGTTGCAATCCCACCCAGTTTGGTATCATCTGCAAACTTAATAAGCGTACTCTCTATCCCAATATCTACATCATTGATGAAGATATTGAACAGTACGGGTCCCAAAACAGACCCTTGAGGAACTCCACTTGTTATCCCTTTCCAGCAGGATTTAGAACCGTTAACAACAACTCTCTGACTACGGTTATCCAGCCAATTATGCACCCACCTTATTGTGGCCCTATCTGCCGAGTGTTGGAAGAAGTTGGAAGTGTTTCTAGGCCTGGACTCAGAGTAGGGGTGTGTGCCCCTCCCGGACTCCTGTCCCGGTGGTCTTGGATTACCTACTTGGGTTGCGACAGGCGGGCCCATCCGCTCCGTCTGTACGGGAGCATCTGGTGTCCCTGACGGCATTTCATGAGGGTTCGGGGGGCAGCTCGTTCTCTGACCCCCTGGTGAAAAGGTTCCTGAAGGGCCTACATAAGCTGTTTCCCCATGTAAGGGCCCCGGTGCTGCAGTGGGACCTTAAACTGGTGCTGAATAAGCTCTTGGGTCCCCCCCTTCGAGCCACTAGCATCCAGCCCTCTGAAGTTCCTGTCTCTGAAGGTGGCTTTTATAGTCGCCATTATGTCAGCCCGCTGGGTGTCTGAATTGCGCGCCGTGATGGTGGAGCCCCCGTACTTAGTATTCTCGGCAGACAGGGTTTGTCTGTGTCCCCACCCTGAGTTCCTCCCCAAGGTGGTGTCAACCTTTCATATGTCGTAAGACATATACCTCCTGGTTTTCTTTCCCAAGCCCCACAGCTCCCCTAAGGAGCGGGCTTTGGACTCCCTTGACGCGAAAAGGGCTCTGGCATTTTACATAGATAGAACTAGGCCGTTTCGCAAGACTTCTCAGTTGCTTATTAGAACATAAGAACATAAGAACCCAAGAGTTTATTGCCTATGTGGATTGGATGAAAGGGATGCCGGTTTCAGCCCAACGGCTGTCAGGGTGGATATCCTCCTGCATTCGGGAGTGCTATGCTCTCGCGCATAAGGAGCCAACTTGTGTGCCGGCACATTCCACCAGGGCTCACACTTCATCCGTAGCCTTTGGGGCCCACGTTCCGATCCTTAAGATTTGTAGGGCGCTACGTGGTCCTCGGCTCATATGTTTACAGAGCATTATGTGCTCACGCAGCAGGCGCAGGAGGACTCTGCGGTGGGTGTGGCTGTGTTGGGTTCTCTCCTGTGAACAAACAAAGGGACGTGGTTGAGTGGTACACAGCGTGTCGTGTACCTGCTGTATCTATATGTTGAGTTGTTTATGTGTTGTGTTCTGTCCCAGTTCTGCATTAAAGTTCTTGTTGCACTGGCTCTCAGTGTGAGGGTTCTGTTGGATGACTCCGAGCCCGCCTCTGGAGTAGGGGCAGCTTGGTAGTCACCTCGTTTGAATGGACATGAGCAATCACTCGAAGAAGAAAATAGGGTTATTTACCTGTAACTGTTGTTCTTCGAGATGTGTTGCTCATGTCCATTCGATTTCCCCCCTGCCTCCCCTGCGTCGGAGTTTCCGGCAAGAAGGAACTGAGGAGGGGGAGGGCCGGCAGAGTACTTATGCTCTGCTATAGCGGCGCCACTCCAGGGGGCGACCTGCTGGCCCGATGGGTACTGCTGGGGAAAAAATGCTCCAGGAACCGTGCACGTGGCGCGCATGCACCTCGTTTGAATGGACATGAGCAAAACATCTCGAAGCACAACAGTGACAGGTAAGTAACCCTGTTTTCTCATGGGATTCCTCAGCTGGTGTAACTTTTCCAGGACTCCACTTTCCTATGAAAATTTCTCCCCCACAGAGCTAAAATCACTAAGATCACGAATGGGAAAAAAAAAAAAAATTTCAGCAGCTGCAGGGAGAATCTTGTAGAGAAAATGCCTCCGTCTCTTGGGGATACGTTCAGAGAGTCCGAAGTCAGGAGGTGTCCCGAAATAGCCGTGCAGTGTCGACACACCCTAGAAAGCACTTCTTTGTTATCTATTTTGTGTTTCCCACAGATCGGTTTAATTGAATGTGTTTTTGACCTTGAAGTGAGACAGGGAGAACACAATCCCGAACAACTCTCTCCCACTCAGAGTTTTCTAGACTTGTCCCATGCCCTGTCTCATTCATCTACTTCATAAGGTAACAATCCCAGACCTAGTCCACATGAGAACAGAGTCCCTGTTCATTCTTGCTGTAATTCTGCAACAACCAGCGAGACAGGTGTGCTCAGTACTGCAAAGGGAAGTCCTGAGGAGGGTGAAATATGGACTGACTGATAATAACAGCATACTATGTTCCATATGATTCCCCATCCCACTTCTGGATCCCAACATTTTACGCAGTTTCTCTCAACTTACACTATGAGTAGGGCTTCATCATGTTCAGGTAACAAGGTCAGTGCCTCGAGTTCAAACATTTATATTAGAACTTTTTTGAGTTCAAGTTTTTTCCACCTTCAGTTGGCAGGCACGTTGCACTTATTGACATCAAAGTTCATCTACCAAGAGGCTCCCAAATATGTGGTTTTGGTAACTCCCTGTGCGGACTTCTCTAGACTTGGCGAGGATCTAAATAACCTTGTGCCATCCACAAACGCTGCCACCTTTCTAGATTGTGAATAACTATAAAATATTTACTGTATACATATTTACTATAATATTTACTGATCAAGGGTGTAACCCCCTCTCTCCCTCCATTGAGTATGTAACCTTCCCCCCCACTTAGTAGACTTCTCTTTTCACAGGCACTTTAACCATTTCTGAGACCAACTGACTCGTCGGCTACATCATGTCAACTTTCAACCTCACCACCGCTGGCTCTTCAACGTTCATTCTGACGGGCATCCCTGGCCTCGAAGCTGCCCATGCCTGGATTGCCATTCCTTTTGCTACAGTCTACATTACCAGCCTACTGGGAAATTTCACGGTTCTCTTTGTTATCGCAAAAGAGCAGACGTTACACAAGCCGATGTACCTGCTGCTCTGCATGCTGGCGCTCACAGATATCGGCATGCCTACCTCTGTGGTGCCAAAGGCCCTGTGCATATTTTGGTTTAATTTGAGAGACATTACTATTGGTGGCTGCCTCATGCAAGCATTCTCCCTTCATGTACTTGCTATTATTCACTCAGGTGTGCTCATGACGATGGCCATCGATCGCTACGTTGCCATATGCAACCCTCTGAGATACACCACCACCCTCACCAATGCACGAATAGCAAAGCTAGGGCTAGCGGGTTTGACAAGAGGCTTTCTCGTCTTTCTGCCTCTACTCCTGCTCCTGAGCAGGCTGCCGTTCTGTGACAACCACATTATTCCCCACACTTACTGTGAGCACATAGCTATAGCAAAGCTCTCCTGTGGGGACACCACAGGCTACAAGATGTACAGCTTGATTATAGCTTTTGTGGTCATGGGGTTTGACCTGACGCTTATCGTCCTGTCCTATGGTCTGATTATTAGGGCCATCCTCAGAATCTCATCCAAGGAGTCTCACCAGAAAGCCCTCAGCACCTGCACAGCCCACATGTGGGTCATGTTGACATCTTATGGTTCCGTCCTCTTCTCCAACCTCACACACCGGTTCGGTCAAGGCATTGCTCCCCACATTCACATCATCTTGGCCAACCTCTACGTTCTCCTTCCCCCCATGCTCAACCCCATCATTTACGGGGTCAAAACCAAAGAGCTTCGTGACAAAATGGGCCAATACACCTGCAGAATGTGATTGTTGTGGCCACAGACTTTAATCCTGTGTGACAAGGGAAGGTAAATATATCTCATTAATGAAGAGTCTGGAAGAGCTCAGCCTTATGTATGTTCACAGTCACAGAAGTTCCTCTCACCTAACATCTCATTACTCCATCACCAACCACAGTTTTCCATTCCGGAGTACCCTCTCTTGACCATCACCTTTAACGTCATGTGTAGGGCCCCAGCCCCCATGCATCCTGTCACTCACTCCTGTTTTCCCTGATTTTCAGACCACAAGAAGATCCTACAGCTTTCTGAGCTAAGCTTGCTTTCTATTAGAGAAGCTTTAGTTGGTCCAGCAAATAAAGAATATTTCTATCAGAATAGCCAAAGCAAATAAAGAAACTAGAATGCTGAAGTTCTTAACCGTATCGACAGTCATCTGGTAAGCCACATTTCCCCGACTTTTCTATATCCAGCCCTTCAGGGAGCCTAACTGGTTAACCAAATCTAGAATTTGGATCCTGCTTATACAGAAATGCTGCTGAAGGAATTGAGGACATTTTACGAGAGTGGGTTGGTGACAGTTATGATGCTTTTTGATTACTGGACTGCTGAGTAAAACAACTTCACTTGAGAGTTAAAAAACTTCCCGCTTTGCACAGCTGATTTTGGAGTTACTTCACAGCTGGAAATTTCCAAGTGCACCCTAATGTTGTCCATTATTGAAGAGTTCAAAATGCTAAGATTTGTGTTCAAGTTTTAAGGGCAGGGATAGCTCAGTAGTTTGAGCATTAGCCTACTAAACCTAGGGTTGTGAGTTCAATCCTTGAGGGGACTATTTAGGGATCTGGGGCAAATCTGTCAGGGAGGGTACTTAGCCCTGTTGTAAGGGGCAGGGGACTGACTCAATGACCTTTCAAGGTCCCTTCCAGTCTCTATGAGATAGATACATATATCTATCTCCATACATATAAACAGTTGAAATTTGGATTGTCACCAACCATCCAGGAAACAGAATTGTTTGCAACAGTAAATCCTTCTATTGTGCTCTCCCCTTTGCTATCTACATTGGCTGAAATCTCATTTTTGCCATTGTTTTGGGAAGTGGAGAGGTTTGCCTGTGGTTCACTGGTCCCATACTCAGGACAACCAAATTCTACTTCTGATGAAGAGCATGAGGATGAAATGTTGCCTGTTAGACACTGACAATAACAACCTGATTTAACATAAAATATTGATACTGACGACAGTTACTGAATGTCTTTAGATATAATTAAATAATTTTATTATTGTCCTTACCACGCCATACATTTGGGGGGATGTTACAGTTTATGTTTAACATCACAATTCAACATTTGCTGTTGGAAACATCTGCCAACCCTCGATCAGGATATCAGTACTAATACTGAGGGTTTGAATGTGAATTGGATGTTTCATCACACAGCTTCATTGCTAATATGAATGAACTCCTGCTGAGGCTTGCAGCTTTTTGTAACAATCAAATCTCTACTAGCCATCTGTCATAATCAGGAATGCTGACCAGCACCGGCCGACTAAGGGTACGTCTAGACTACAGGGTTTTGTCGACAAAACTATACCTGCGTCTACACTACCGCTGAGTTCTGTCGACGCTGGTAAACCTCATTTTACGAGGCATAACGTCTTTGTCGACAGAGTTCTGTCGACAAAAAGGGCAGTCTGGACGCGGGGGTTTCTTTTGTTGACAGAAAAAGACCTCCAAGGAAACCCCCTGCTGGACAGTCCTTCAGGAAAAACCTCTTCTTGTTCCTGTCTGTAGCCATGTTTTAAAGGCACAGACATCCCTGACAGGCATCGTGACAGGAAGCTGGCCACAGAGGAAGCCTGTCAGCACAGAGCTCTCCCACCTTCACTTGCACGTGGCCATGTGTGCAGCTCCAGAGCCACAAGGCCCCCAAGGACCTTTGAGGGAGACAGCCCTGGTGCCCACAGCCGAGAAAAAGAGATTCCCAGCTTGGTCAGGGCCAGAGGTCCTGACACTGCTCGAACTGTGGGGGGAAGAGGAAGCGGTCCAGACCCTGCACACCTGGCGCAGGAACGCCAACATCTACAGCCGCATGGCTCACGGGCTGTCCGATAAAGGGCACCACCCCAGGATATTGCAACAGATCCGGGCGAAAGTCAAAGAGCTTCGGCAGGGATACGTGAAGGCCCAAGAGCAGAGCTTGGCTTCAGGTGCAAAGCTCGGCTTCAGGTGCAACCCCAGTGCACTGCGCCTATTATCTAGTCACTATAAGCATTTTCTTAAAACATGGGATAAACCCAATTCTGTTTGTAGCATTTGAGTTTACATTCCCCATTTGAATTGTGCTTTTTAATATGATGCAAAGTCAAAATTCTCATCTCCAATGTGCGTTATTGATCTCTGTCACACACTGCAGCACCTCTAATGGAAATCTAAAGTAGAGCTTGAGAAGGATAATTTTGCTCAGACTTTCACATGCTATTTTAGTCACTGCTAATGATCTCTGGTCAAGGTCAAATTTTGCCCTAGGATGCAGAGCAGTGTTCACATCTTGATCCTCCTGGACAGCTTGCATCTCTGTGCATGTACAAGCAGGTGGTGGGTATGTGGGTGGGGGGCATGGGAGACCCAAGGTGCAGCAGGCCCCTGTCCTACTGTGCCTGCACACTGATCTGGCCTGGACAGCCACAGTGGAGGGAGGGAGGATCTAGCGGGTGGAGGTGGACATTGTCCTAGCCACAACGGGTCCCCTGCGCAACCCAGGCAGCTGGCGGGGGGGCTGGGGAGCCCCAGGGTGCAGCAGGCCCCTGTCCTACTGTGCCTGCACACTGATCTGGCCTGGACAGCCACAGTGGAGGGAGGGAGGATCTAGC